GGAGGAAGGGGACTCGGATGAGGGAGGAGACGTGGGCGAAGACCTTGTCGAGGTCCGCGGGGCCCCTCCGGGTCTCCATGAAAAGCGGGTTGAGCCCGTCGTCTCCGTAGAGGAACTGGACAACCTGGCCGTCGCTGGTGCGCACCGTGTGGTCGTACTTGACGCACAAGTCCTCCAGGGCCTGCAGCAGCAGCGCTGTCTCCTTCGCAAGTTCGCTGTCTCCGTGCCCTTGCCGCCCCTTTGCTGGCTCTTTAGGTGGCCCTTTAGGTGCCTCTTTCCTGCCTCTTTGCTGCCTCTTTGCTGCCTCCTTAGGGGGCTCTTTAGGGGGCTCTTTATCTGTCTCTTTATCTGTCTCCTTATGTGTCTCCTTATCTGTCTCCTTTTATCAGTCTCCTTCTCTACTTCCTTATCAGGCCCTCATCTGTCTCCTTTGAACTGTCTCCTTTGATCTGTCTCTTTTGATCTGTCTCCTTATGTGTCTTCCTTGATCTATCTCCTCTGAGCTGTCTCTTTTGATCTGTCTCCTCCAATCTCCCATCCCCTATCTCCTCCCGCCCCCTCATCTGTCTCCTTCAATCTGTCCCTTCATATCTGTCTCCTTTTATCCGCCTCATCTTATCTGTGTCCTTTTGTCTGTCTCCCTTCATCTGTCTCCTCCTATCTGTCTCCTTTTATCTGTCTCCTCTTCTATGTGTCTCTTCTTCTATCTGTCTCCTTCCAACTGTCTCTTCTTCTGTCTCCTCTCCCAACTGTCTCCTCTTCCAACTGTCTCCTCTTCCAACTGTCCCCCCTTCCACCTGTCCCCTCTCCTAACTGTCTCCTTTTCAAACTGTCTCCACTTGTCTCTATTTAAAACAGTCTCCAACTATCTCCTTTCCAAACTGTCTCCAACTATCTCCTTTCCAAACTGTCTCCAACTATCTCCTTTCCAAACTGTCTCCAACTATCTCCTTTCCAAACTGTCTCCAACTATCTCCTTTCCAAACTGTCTCCAACTATCTCCTTTCCAAACAGTCTCCAGCCATCTCCTTTCCAAACAGTCTCCATCTGACTCCTTTTAGAACTGTCTCCTTTTAAGATTGTCTCCTTGTAAAACTGCCTCCTTGTAAAACTACCTCCTTGTAAAACTGCCTCCTCTTAAAACTGTCTCGTTTTAAAACTGTCTCGTTTTAAAACTGTCTCCTCTTAAAACTCTCTCCTTTTAAAACTGTCTCCTTTTAAAACTGTCTCCACCTGTCTCTATTTAAAACACTCTCCGCCTGTCTCCTTTTCTAACAGTCTCCACTCTCTCTCTATCAAACGGTCTCCTTTCCAAACTGTCTCCAACTGTCTCCCTTCAAAACTGTCTCCTTCTCAAAATGTCTCCTATTAAAACAGTCTCCAACGGTCTCCTATTAAAACAGTCTCCAACTGTCTCCTTTCAAAACTACCTTCTTTCCAAACTGTCTCCACCTGTCTCCTTCTCTAACTGTTTCCACCTATCTCCACTTAAAACTGTCTCCCTTTCAAACTGTCTCCGTCTGTCTCCTCTCCAAACTGTCTCCTTGTCAAAAAGTCTCCACCCATCTCCTTTTAAAACTGTCTCCTTTCCAAACAGTCTCCTTCTGTCTCCCTCTCTAACAGTCTCCACTTGTCTCCTTTCAAAACTGTCTCCTTTCAAAACTGTCTCCACCTGTCTCTATTTAAAACAGTCTCCACCATCTCTTTACCAAACTATCTTCTCCTCTAAGACTCTCCTTCTGTCTCCTTTCAAACTGTCCCCTTCCGTCTCCAAACTGTCTCCTTTCGCCTCCAAACTGTCTCCTGCCTCCAAACTGTCTCCTCCCTTTTCCCAACTGTCTCCTCCTGTCTCCAAACTGTCTTCTTCTCTATCACTCTCCTTCTGTCTCCCAACTGTTTCCCCCTGTCTCCAACTGCCCCCCCCTTCCTCCCAAGTGTCTCCTTCTCTACCACTCTGTTGCTGTCTCCAGCTGTCTCCTTCTGTACCGCCCTTTCGCCGTCTCCAACTGTCTCCTTCTCTAGCACTCTTTTGTGTCCCCAAGTGTCTCCTTCTGTGTCGCAAGTGTCTCCTTCTCTTTAGTGTCTCCGAGTGTCTGCTTCTCCGCACTGTGTTGCTGTCTCCACGTGTCTCCTTCTCTACCACTCCGTTGCCGCCTGCAAGTGTCTCCGTCTGTGTCTCCAGTGTCTCCTTCTCCACACTGTGTTGCTGTCTGCAAGTGTCTGTCTCCTTCTCTACACCGTGTCTGCAAGTGTCTCCTTCTGACCTTTATGAGCCTGTGTCTGCAAGTGTCTCCTTCTGTGTCTGCAAGTGTCTCCTTCTGTGTCTGCAAGTGTCTCCTTCTGTGTCTGCAAGTGTCTCCTTCTGTGTCTGCAAGTGTCTCCTTCTGTGTCTGCAAGTGTCTCCTTCTCTACACCCTGTTGTGTCTGCAAGTGTCTCCCCCCGTGTGTGCTGTCTGCAAGTGTCCCCTCCCGCCTCTGCAAGTGTCTCCCCCCGCGCAAGTGTCTCCCCCCGCGCAAGTGTCTCCCCCCGCCCCTGGAAGTGTCCCCTCCCGCCCCTGCAAGTGTCTCCCCCCGCGCAAGTGTCCCCTCCCGCCCCTGCAAGTGTCTCCCCCCGCCCCTGGAAGTGTCCCCTCCCGCCCCTGGAAGTGTCCCCCCCGCCCGCGGAAGTGTCCCCCCCGCCCGCGGAAGTGTCCCTCGGAAGTGTCTCCGCGGACCTTCATGAGCCTGCGCTGCATGTAGCCCGTCTCCGCAGTCTTGACGGCGGTGTCCACGAGGCCCTCGCGGCCAGACATGGTGTGGAAAAAGAACTCGTCGGGAGACAGTCCGGAGAAGAAAGAGTTGGAGACAAAGCCGCGGCTGCGGGGCTCGGGCGCTTGGCGCTTGAAGAGCGGGAGCGTCCTGTCTCCGAATCCCGCGGAGACCCTGCGGCCGGCCACGTTCTGCTGCCCCACGCATGCAACCATCTGCGCAATGTTTATCAGGGCCCCCTTGGCCCCCGAGCGGAACATTATCCCCGGCTTGTTGAAAGGAGACAGCAGCTGGCTGCAGACCTGGCCCGCGGAGTTGCGCAGGTCGTCCAGGATTTTCTTGGTCCGCAGCTCGAGTGTCTCCTCCAGCGAGCAGCCGGGGTGGGGCTGCATGCAGCCGCGCGCGAAGCGCGCGGCCTCGCCGCGGATCGCCTCTGCCGCGCGCGCCAAAAGTGTCTCCTTCGCTGTCTCCAAGGAGACACTTGGAGACACGTCGTCCAGCCCCATCGTGAACCCGTAGCTCGCGAACCACCGCGCGCAGACCCGCGCCACGCGGCCCAGGCACGCGGCCGCCAGCGCCGCGGAGTTGTCTCTTATTAGGTGGTAGAAGAGGCCGTGCTTGGAGTCCTGCGGGGGCGAAGGGACAAAAGGAGACACTTTTTCCGGGCCTCGCCCGCGAAAGACAACGGAGACGCATGCACGCACCAGCTGCTCAGCGCCACTTCGCTCTCCTCACGTGCACAAACGCCATCTTTTGACTCCCGGAATGTTCAAAAGGAGACACAAGGAGACACGCGCGTGCAGCACCAACAGGGGGCGCCTTAAGTGCCACAAACGCCATCTTTTGACTCCCGGAGTGTTCAAAAGGAGACACAAGGAGACACGCGCGTGCAGCACCAACAGGGGGAGTTGGCTTTTATTAAGTGGTAGAAGAGACTGTGTTTTGAATCCTGAAAGGTTTGCAAGGAGACAAAAGAGACAAAAGCAGACAAAAACGGACAAAAACAGACAAAAGGAGACAAAAAGAGACAGGTCCATGCAGCAGCGAGAGAGGGAGAGTTGTCTCTCACTAAGGGGTCAAAGAAACTCTGCTTGGAGTCCTCAAAAGGAGACAACAGGAGACAGAGGAGGAGACAAATTTAGATGCAGACAAATTTAGATGCAGACAAATTTAGATGCAGACAAATTTAGATGCAGACAAATTTAGAGAGATGGAGAGAGTCTGAAAGAGATTGGGAGATGGAGATGGAGATGGAAGAGACAGACAAAAGGAGACCCAGACAAAAGAGACAAAAGAGACAACAGAGACAAAAAAGACAAAAGGAGACAGAAGGAAACAGAAGGAGATAGAAGAGACAAAAGAGACAAGAGAGACAGGAGAGACAGATTGACGTGGAGACAGATTGACGTGGAGACAGATTGAGAGATAGGGAGATGGAGAAGAAGTTGTGGAGATGGAGATGGAGGTGGAAGAGACAGATGCGGAGATAGGCGACAGAAGGAGGCAGTAGGAGACAGGAGGAGACAGGAGGAGACAGAAGGAGACGGAAGGAGACAGGAGGAGACAGAAGGAGGCAGGAGGAGACAGGAGGAGACAGGAGGAGACAGAAGAGACAGAAGGGACAGAAACAAAAGAGAGACAAGAAGAGACAGAGACAAGAAGAGACAGAGACAAGAAGAGACAGAGACAAGAAGAGACAGTGACAAGAAGAGACAGAGACAAGAAGAGACAGAGACAAGAAGAGACAGAGACAAGAAGAGACAGTGACAAGAAGAGACAGAGACAAGAAGAGACAGAGACAAGAAGAGACAGAGACAAGAAGAGACAGAGACAAGAAGAGACAGATGAGGTGAGGGAATTAAGGAGACAGATGGAGACAAATGGAGACAGACGGAGACAGGTGGAGACAGATGGAGAAAAATGGGACAGGAGACTGATGAGATTGATGGAGATTGATGGAATTGAAACGGAGAGGAATAGGAAACAAAAAAAGAGAAAAAAGGAGACAAAAAAGGAGACAAAAAAGGAGAGACAAAAAAGGAGAGACAAAAAAGGAGAGACAAAAAAGGAGACAAAAAGAGACACGGGAAGGAAGAAAAAGAAGAGAGTTTAAAAGGAAAAAAGAGACAAAAAGACAACATTTGCTGTGCGAAGTAAAAGCCCGAAAAGAATCTCTCAGATGAGGCAAAAACATAAAAAGAAAATCCCAAAATGTCCCCAAAGAGCAGCAAAAAGAGCAGCAAAACAGCAGCAAAACAGCAGCGAAAGATCCCCAAGAGAGCAGCAAGAACTCCCGAAAAAGCAGCAAAGGGGGCCCCAAGAACTCCCAAAAAAGCCCCCAAAAGTCCCCAAAAACGCAGCAAAAACGATACCAACAAATCCCCAAAACAGCAGCAAAACAGCAGCAGCAGAACAGCAAAAGCCACACCAAGAAGTCCGCAAAACAGCAACGAAAGAGCAACAAAGCAGCAGCAAAAGCCACGCCAACAAGTCCCCAAAACAGCAGCAAAGCAGCAGCAAAGCAGCAACCGCCGAAGAACAAAAGCCACACCAAGAAGTCCCCAAATGCGCAGCAAAGGTGCAGCAAAGGCGCAGCAAAGGTGCAGCAAAGGTGCAGCAAAGGCGCAGCAAAGGTGCAGCAAAGGCGGAGGAGTGCAGGGCGGACTCCGAGGACTTTTTTTCCGATGCAGCCGGCGAGAAGTTCGGAGTTGCGGACGACGACGTAGGCGTCGTTGGGGCACATGAAGAAGGGGACAGTTGGAAGGAGACAGTTGGGGCTGAAGTCCCTTTCGGGGGCCTCGAAGTTGAGGACGGCGAAAGTGTCTCTGCGGGGCCGCAGCAGCACGGCGAGCAGCTGCTTGCCCGTCCACAGCTCCTGCGGCAGCAGCAGCGCGGGCGGCGGCAGCTGCACTGCTGCTGCTGCATCGGTGCATGCAGCGCAAAGTTGCGCAAAAGCTTTTCTGGAAAGAAAAGTGTCTTTGTGGGTCAGCAAGTACCAACAAGACAGAAAGTCCTGCGTGGCCGCCACCAGCGGGTCTCCGTTCTTCGGGGTCTGCAAGTTGGAGACAACTCCGAGGAGACACAGGGCCTCCGCGCGGGCCTCCTGCGTCTGGGGGACATGCAAGTTCATTTCGTCTCCGTCGAAGTCCGCGTTGAAGGGAGAACACACACTTTCATTAAACCTCAAAGTCCTCCCCGCCATCACCTTGGCCCTGAAGGCCATGAGGCTGAGGCGGTGGAGAGAGGGCTGCCTGTTGAAGAGCACAATGTCTCCGTCGCGCAAGTGTCTCTCCACGGTGTCTCCTGTCTCCAAGTGCTCCGCCGCCAGTCTCCGGTTCGCGAAACGGAGACTGCACTTGCTGCCGTCTCTCTTGTGCACGTAGCAGGCCCCGGGCCAGCCGTCGCAGCCGCGCTGCACTGCGGCGCGGAGGCCTGCTGCAGAAAGGGGACAGACTGTCTCCGGGAAGGTCAGCCGCCGCGCCATCCACTCGGGGACCGCCACTTCGTAAACCTCTAAATTAGGGTCTGGAGATATCACCGTCCGCCCCGAGAAGTCCACGCGCTTCCCCGACAAGTTGCCCCGGAAGCGGCCCTCCTTGCCCTTCAGCCGCTGGCACAGGCCCCGCCCCGCCCTGCTGCTGCTGCTGCTGCTGCTGCGCCCCACCAGCTGCTGCACCGCCGGCGCCTCCGAGTTCAGCAGCAGCGTCACCTGCAGCTGCAGCAGCTCCCACAGACCCACGAACTGCCCCGGGGGGCCCCCCGCTGCTGCGAGGCCCCGCAGGGCCCCGTTTATCTCCACTATCTCCGCCAAAACGCAAGTCAAGTCGTCTTCGTTGGAGCCCTGTTCGCCGACGGAGACAGAGGGACGGAGACAGTTCGGCGGCACCGGCAGCTGCTGCAGCAGCAGCTTCCACGGAGACACCACGTCCAGCACTTCGCAGTCCCCCGGCCGCAGCCGCTGCAGCAGCTGCTGCACCCGCAGCGGGTGCAGGTCCTCCTCCTGCTGCGCCGCTGCTGCTGCTGCGCCGCCCCCCGCTGCAGCAGCAGCAGCAGCAGCAGCAGCAGCGCGCGGCTGCTTGGTCACGTGCCGCAGCTTCATGAACTGGTCCAGCACGGGGCGCACGACTTTGCGCAGCACGCCCTGCGGCGCGTCGCAAAGGAGACACTTGGAGACTCTTTTGCATTCGGAGACAGTTTTTCGAAAAAGGGCCTTTTTGGCAATCGGGTCTTCTTTGTGGCGGCGCATGCGCTGCAGGGCCCGCGCCCGCGCCTCCGGAGACAGCAAAAGGGCCCCGCACTTCTTGCAAATGCAATAAAGAATTTGAATCAAATGTTTCAAATATCCGCAGTGAAAAACGGGGACACTTAAACTGCAGTGGCCCCAGTGGCCCCCGCAACTCAGCAAAGAGTTCCCGCAGGTTTGGCACACCGAGTCGTTCCTGTTGGGACCTGAAACAAAACAATTCTCTCATTTGTTTGTTTGTTTGTTTATTATTTGTTTAATTGTTTTTCATTTAATTGTTTGTTCAATTGTTTGTTTCATTGTTTGTTTGTTTGTTTGGTTGGTTGGTTGGTTGTTCGTTTTACTTGGGTGTTTGTTTGGTTGATTCGTTGTTTGTTTGTTTAATTGTTCGTCTGCTTGTCTAATTGTTTATTTGTTTATTTGTTGTTTGTTTATTTGTGTATTTGTTTATTTGTTGTTCGTTTAATGCATTAATTAGTTTGTTTAACGCATTAGTTCAGCGTTTGGCAGTGAAGACCGCGAAGATAATGGAGACAGTGAGGAAAAGGAGACAGCAAAGATGCTGTTAAGATAAAGGAGACAGTAAAGAAAAGGAGACAATAAAGGAAAGGAGACAGTACAGAAAACGAGACAGTGAAGAAAAGGAGGCGGGAAAGAAAAGGAGACAGGAAAGATGCTGTTATGATAATGGAGAGAGTAAAGAAAATGGAGACAGTTGAAGTAATGGAGACATTAAAAATAATGGAGACATTTAAAATAATGGAGACATTTAAAACAATGGAGACAGTTGAGATAATGAAGACAGTAAAGATAATGGAGACAGTAAAGAGAAGAGAGACAAAAGAGACGGTGGAGAGAACACAAAGGAGACAGTAAAGATAATGGAGATAATGGAGACAAAGGAGACAGTAAAGATAATGGAGGCAGTGCAGAGAAAAGGAGACAGTAAAGAATATGGAGATAATGGAGTTAATGGAGATAACGGAGATAATGGGGATAATGGAGACAATGGAGATAATAGAGACAATTGAGAAAAAAGGAGACAGTGAAGAAAATGGAGACAGTGAAGAAGAAATGGAGACAATGGAGATAAGGGAGACAGTGAAGATAATGGAGATGAAGGAGAAAAAAGGAGACAGTAAAGGTAATGGAGATAATGGAGATAATGGAGACAAAGGAGACAACAAATTCACTTGGACCTGTGGAGACAATGCAGACAAACGAGACAGTAGAAAGTGCTGGAGACAACTGGAGACAGGAGGAGACAATTGGAGGCAAAAGGAGACAATTGGAGATAAATAGAGACAAGTGGAGATGGAGGCAATTGGAGACAAGAAGAGACAAGAGGGACAAAAAAGAGACGGAGAAGAGACAAAAAAGAGGCAAAAGCACGAAACACAAAAGATAAAAAGACGTAAGACAAAGACACACAAAAGAGACACCAAAGAGACACAAAAGAGACACAAAAAAGACATAAAACAAGGAGACACAAAAGAGACACAAAAGAGACACCAAGGAGACGCAAACGGAGACACAAAAGAGGGAAAAAAGACGAAAAAAAGAGACAAAAAGGAGACAAAAAGGAGACAAGAGAGACAAAAAGGGGCAAAAATAAGACACAAAGAAACAAAAAAAAGCGACAAAAAGAAGGCCAGCAACAGCAGCCCGAAAAGAAATAAAAGGACGAAAAATAGAACAGCTTTAGTCGAGTAAACCCTAAACCCTAAACCCTAAACACCAAACCCTAAACCCTAAACCCTAAAGCTTAGAGGAAACCCCAAACCCTCCGTAAAACCCCAAACCCTCGTTGAAACCCCGACCCCCAAACCCTCGTTGAACCCCCAAACCGTAAACCCTCTCTCCAACCCTAAACGCCCTACCCCAGCCCCTCGTCGAAACCCCAAACCCCAAACCCTAAACCCTAAACCCTAAACCCTAAACCCTGGCTGCGGCGGGAGCGGGGCTGACCGAGGCGCAGGTCGAGGACGCCGAAGGGGTGGGGGGTGTTGGTGAGGTGTACGTACAGCTCGCGGTTGACCACTTCCAGTTGGGAAAGTTGCGAAATTTCTTCTTTTCCCAAAACATCAAACTGAACTTTGTCGACTTGGTGGGCCCTTTGGGAGTCTCTAAACTGTCCCTTTAGAGACACTGCGCGCCGCACTGCTGCGCTCTGCAGCAGTGCCTTCAGGGCCTCCGAGGGGGCCCCCGGGCTCGCCAGCGTGGGCCCCCCCTCGCCCTCCTCGCCCTCCGCAGCAGCAGCAGCAGCAGCAGCAGCAGCTGCTGCTGCTGCTG